CAGTTTTTATTGATATCTCTCTTCCTGTATATCAACAGAATTAGGTTTCTAGATTTCTGTGTGAACAAACCCTTGATATTAAGAAGAAATGGCATCACCAAAGGAGTCAGTATATTTGTGTTGCCATGACAACAATGGAAAGAACCTTCCCTTGGAAAGTCAGATTGTAGTCTTCTTGTATGCATTCTGTGACCTTACAGCAAAGACTTGTGAAACTGTGCTTGTGAGGAATGACCGTGTCGTGGCAAATGATGGCAGTCAAGAGGACAGCATCTTTCATGGGACAGGCAGAGGCTTGAATATCAAAGTGGAAGAGAAAGATGTGATCCCAGCATGTGTTCAGAAGTGTCAGCTCCCTGTGCTGCTAACCAATCACAATGGAATAAACTGTTGTAAATATGGTCTCGCTAATGTACTGAGGAATTTAATATACATAGCAAATGATGTACACCCAGAAAGGGAGCTATTAAAATTATTGGTAAGTTAAGGTGTTCTATCAGGCCTTTCCAAATCAAGACGGCTTTCTTCGCCATGTTTGACTGTCTGTAAATTATTAACCTTTTGACAATAACATTTTGTACATGTGTTTGTTCAGAGAAATTATCTAATAATAAAATATGTTGTGTGCTGATGTGAGTGTGTTAAATAGGCTACGCCAATGCTAGGGTTTGGACTTGCATGAATGTATGTGACAGATTAAACAAAGCTGTATGACTTCTGTGAGAATCTTGAACTTCCAAGCAAGATTTTTTTTATACTACCTAACCATTGTAGTTCCCTACTAATGAATCCCACAAAATGATTGTGAGAGACCTTATTATTTACACACATTATCAGTCGTAGTTAACAGTAATACTGACACCTCTGTTTCCATCTAGGGCTATAATGAGACCTGTCTCAAATCTTGTGCAGAATCAAGTCAATGGACAAAGCTATGTGAAATAGAAATACCAGAATCCATCAGTTATTTCTGCCAGCACAATCATCGAAACGGGACAATACCATTCAGTGTTTTG